AAAAAAAAAAGTTCCTACCCTGTCTAATTTTTTAATGTTTAATATTTCAGTACTTTGTTCCTTTTTTTGCCAAATAATATTCCACTATATGGATACAGCACATTTGTCCATTCTCAGTTCGTGGACATTTACTTTATTTTTGTATTATGTATAGTGCTGCCATGAACATTCATGTACAAGTTTTTGTGTGGACATACATTTTCATTTCTCTTGACAATGAGATAGGAATACCTACGAGTGAGATTGTTAGGCCAAATGAAAACTCTTTAACATTCTGATGAACAAACAACTTTCAAGGTAACTAGACCATTTTACAATTTCAGTGGCAACATATGAAGGTTCCATTGTCTCCTTATCAACACTTGTTATTACCTGTCTCAGATATTAGACATCAAGTGTATATGAAATAGTACTGCATTATGGTTTTAAGTTGCATTTCTCTAATACCTAATGATGTTGAGCTTCTTTTCACATGATTATTGGCCATCTGTATATATTCTTTGGGGAAGTATCTTTCACAGTATCTATTTTTAATTGTGTTGTCTTTTTATTGTTGAGTTTTAAGAGTGCTTTATATATTCAGGATACAAATTCCTTATCAGATAAATGATTTGCAAATATTTTCTCCCATTCTATGGGTTGTCTTTTCACATTCTTGATAGTGTCCTTTGAAGTATTAATGCTTTTTTTTTTTAACATTTTACTTATTCATTTGAGACACGGAGATACAGACAGAAAGAGAGAGCATGAGCAAGGGGAGAGGCAGACAGAGAGGGAGAAGCAGGCTCCCCGATGAACCAGGATCCCGATGTGGGGCTTGATCCCAGGACCCTGAGATCATGACCTGAGCTGAAGGCAGATGCTTAACCATCTGAGCCACCCAGGTGCCCCTAAACGCTTTTCATTTTGATGAAATCCAATTTATCACTTTTTTTGTTGTTGTTACTGTATTTTTGGTGTCATCCAAGATCCCTAACCCAAGATCACAAATATTTTCTCCCATATTTCTTCTAAGAGTTTTTACAGTTTCAGCTTTTATTATGATCTTTGATCCATTTTGAATTAATTTTTATATACGTCATGAGGCAGGGATCCAATTTCATTTTTTTGTATGTGGATATCCAGTTGACCCAGCATTATTTGTTGAAGAGACTATTTTTGCTCTTTTTGAAAAGTCTTGGCAACCTTGCCAAAACTCAAGTGATCAAATATGTGAGGTTTTATTTCTGGACTCTCAATTATATTTCACTGATCTGTGTGTCCTCCTTATCCAGTACCACACTGTCTTGATTACTATAGCTTTGTAATAAATTTTGAAATTGGGAACTTTGAATCTTAACTTTGCTTTTTATTTTCAAAACTGTTTTAGCTATTCTGAGGTCCTGTGCACTTCTATATGAATTTTAGGATCAGTCTGTCAATTTCTGGAGAGCAAAAAAAGTCTGCTGGGATTTTGGTGGAGACAGCGTCCAATGTGCAGATCATTTTGGGTAGTGCTGCAATCTTTTTTTTTTTTTTCTTTTTTTTAGTGCTGCAATCTTAACAATATTAAATCTGATCCATGAATATGGAATGACTTTCCATTTCCTTAGAGTTTCTTTCAAAAAATGTTTTGTAGTTATTCATGTGCAACTCTCGTTTCTTCTTTAAATTTATTTCTATGTAAATTTATTCTTTTGGATGCTACTGTAAATTCATTTCATTTCCTTAGTTTTTAATTTTTTCTTCTTAATTTCATTTTTGGATGTTCATTACTAGTGTACAGCAATACAATTAATTTTGTATATTGTGTACTGAAACCTTGCTAAATTCATTTATTAGTTCTAATAGTTTTGGTTATGAATTTAAGATTTAGTATATAGATCTTGTCACTTGTAAATACAATTTTATTTCTTCCTTTTCAACATGGACACCTTTTATTTCTTTTTTATTGCCCATAACACTGAACAGTGCCATCCTTGTCTTCTTCCTGATCTCAGGGGAAAAAGTATCCAGTTAGTCTTTCACCATTGATATGACGTTAGCTCTGGGGTTTTCACAAATGTCCTTTGTTACGCTGAGGAAGTTCTCATCTCTTCTTAGTTTGTTGACTATTTTTACCATGAGAGGGTGCTGAAGTCTGTAAAATGCTTTTTCTTCATCTACTCAGATGCTCATGCTTTTGTCCTTTATTCTTACTATGGTATATTACAGTTATTGATTTTCAGATGTTAAACTGAGATAAGTCTTATCTGGTCAGGATGTATAATCCTCTTTATATGCTGTTGATTTGGCTTGCTAGTATTTTGTTAAGGATAATATACTTATTTTGTCACTTAACATCTTATTAGAATTTTCCAAACTCCTTATGAATTCTCTGAAATACCATTTTTAGCATATCTATCTACTGCATGTTAAGTGTTTTCCTGTAAGACATTTAGGATACTGCCAATCATTCATTTATAAAATATATCTTCAATAGACATTTCCATTCATAAATCTCTGCCTAAGTTTTTTTTTTAATTATTTCCTTTAAAGAGTTTTCTGTAAGTAGAATCTCTGGGTCAATTCATGTAATCATTTAAAAATTTTCATTAATGGGCTCCTGGGTGGCTCAGTTGGTTAAGCAACTGCCTTCAGCTCAGGTCATGATCCCGCCGGGATCGAGTCCCGCATCGGGCTCCCTGCTCGGTGGGGAGTCTGCTTCTCCCTCTGACCCTATCCCCTCTTGTGCTCTCTCTCTCACTCTCTCTCTCAAATAGATAAAATCTTTAAAAACTAAAAATAAAATTTTCATTAATAATGTCAAACTGCCTTCTAGGAATATCTTCAATTTATACCTCAACAGCAATAAAAATGCTTCACCATTTCCTTGCTAATACGAACCCTTATAAAGACTTTACTAGCTCAAAAAATAAATAATAGTATTGCTTATATTTATTAGGGATCTGAATTTGATAAATTATCTCTTCAAGAAGAACTGAATCACTGAAATAAAATGAGTGAAATGCTATTTTTATCAATGTCTTATGTGAAACATGATCACAGCAGGAGTAAATACAACCATTTAACTAACATTATAGTAAAATCTCTTTAAAAAGTACTTTCACCATACTAGAATAAGATACCTCTTAATGATCAGTTCCTATAAACAGTTCACCAAAGGAATTTGTCCAAAATACACCAAACTTTTTCTCCTGTTCCTATTCTCTATTCCTTCACTCATGTATTTTCATTTGAAACCTTATGACCTCTGTCAAACAGCAAGAATATTTTTTAGGGAATTTTAAAAAAGCATCTTCTCAGATCAAATAAACCATAGAAACTTTCATCAAATCAATACTTTAATAACTTCCTCAAAGAGAGTCCACTGTTAAATTGGATACAAGCATTTCTGGGCACTTTCTTCTCTGGAAACTCTACTAAATTGATAATAAGAATAGCAATAGTAGCACAAGATGTCTACCACAGATGCTGCTTTTTAGGAAAAAAATCAAATACCTTGATTACTGGCACACAGCAATTCTTTTTACATTTTAAAAAAAAGTGTTAGCTCCAATATAAAGAAAAATTATCTTTAAAACAAATAAGGAAACATCACATTTTACAAGACTCTATCCTCAAACTTGCTGACATTATTGAAAAGCAGGTGGCACTTTCTAAGAACATCCAAGGTAATTTCTTCTGTAGGAATCAAAGTAACCAAGTCCTCTCCAACATGGGGCAGACTTCCTATCATGTAACAAGCCCCAACTACTATTTGTTTGTAAAATGAGTGAAACTAACAGTAGTAGCCAATTAGCCACATAACATTTCTTTGGAATGAAGTAATTGATTTGTCTCATCTTTATGACCTTATAAAAAGCATAGATTGAGGGGTGCCTGGGTGGCTCAGTTGGTTAAGCGACTGCCTTCGGCTCGGGTCATGATCCTGGAGTCCCGGGATCGAGTCCCACATCGGGCTCCCTGCTCAGCGGGGAGTCTGCTTCTCCCTCTGACCCTCCTCCCTCTCGTGCTCTCTGTCTCTCATTCTCTCTCTCGCAAATAAATAAAATCTTAAAAAAAAAAAATTTAAAAAAAAGCATAGATTGAGGGACAAATAAATCCATGCTTTTAGTTCAAAGTACAAAAAAAACCAGACTAGCTACTGGTATAGTCATTCTGCAAGCAACATCTCTCCCTAGAGTTATCTACAAGAAACATACTAGGTACTATCCTTTTCCTTATGTTGTTATATATTCACCCCTTGATCTAATTTCAAATTCAAACATTCTAACATTTAATATATAAGCTCTCAAAAATCCAGTCTTACAATCAAATGACTGTAGGTATGTGTGGAAGAAATAATTCTTAAAACCAACAAAAGTAATTTCATCTAACTTATTAAACATTTTTTCTGAAACAAAAACTTTATTATCATAAAATAACAGCTTAAGATTTTACCTTTATAGTAGACTGGAAGCAGGATACTTTCCGAACTTGTCTGCCAGTATCACAATCCCATAACTAAACTTATGTTAAGAAATAATTTCTAAACAGAATGTTAAAATCTCAATTAGGAGGTAAGTTTTCTAATAATTAAATTATAAATGTTACACATTCAGGTAGAAAAATCTTGAAATAAAGCATAAAATATTTAGCATTTATACTATTACTAAAATTAAATCATATAGTGAGTTATCAACTTAGCACAGCAAGCTTACAATCTAAAATAAGTTTGAGGCAAATTTTACTATTAAATATCTGAAAATGTCAACAGAATGAATGGTCTGAATACGGAATATTTATAGGCATTAAATATTACAAATGTTTAAATTTCAAACTTATTCTCTAAAATAGTCCACCATAATCTAATAAACATTGAACATAAAGTATATATACTAAAAACTACCAACTCCATTAATTCTTACTTGAAAGCTCCTTCAACATGCATGGCAGAATTTACTACTGTTATACTAATTCAAAGAAGCCAGTTATAGTGTATTACTTGTAAACATATTTAAAATAATTAGAGGACCTCCATTAAGTGTCCAAGGTTAGTTTGACTTAAGGAGAGTAACAATTTTCAAATTTTTCACCCCATTTCCTAAGATAACATATACATTTTTTATTTTTTAAAGATTTTATTTTTATTATTTATTTGACAGAGAGACACAGCGAGAGAGGGAACACAAGCAGGGGGAGTGGGAGAGGGAGAAGCAGGCTCCCTGCAGAGCGGGGAGCCCAACGCGGGACTCGATCCCAGGACCCCGGGATCATGACCTGAGCCGAAGGCAGTCGCTTAACCGACTGAGCCACCCAGGCGCCCGATAACATATACATTTTACAGCATGTCTGAGCACACATTTATATACATGCATACAAATATGTATATATATATATATACATACACACATGTATATGGATAGACTTAAGACTATCACCTGACTAAAATTAAAAATTTATCTTCAACATTTAATAAAGTTTGTTAACAGTGGAGGCTCAAGCAGCCTGGAATTATTTTTAACAAGAAAATTCAATGAAGAAAATGACTCGATACCATCATTTAAAAGTAAAGTTCATATTGATAATGTCTCAACTACTCATCTCCATACTATAACAGCAATTTAGTATTTGCCTCTAAGCATTATTATAGTACCTTAGGAATGGTCTAATAAAAACAAAGTATTTTAAATTCTATTTTTGGAGATTATACTGATACTGAAAACAAACAAAAAGCTTAGGCCCTAAAATAATATTTGTCTCAACAGAACAGTAGTAATAAAATTACTCTGACTTAAATATATGTAATATTGCTTATGCAACACTATCATCACCACAAAATACAGTTTTACCGCATGTAAATCTTAACTTGAAATTTTTTCACCTATTGGCAATCTGTCTAGAAATCACTTGAGCTAATGAACTCATTTAAAGTGTGTTATGGGGGCGCCTGGGTGGCTCAGTCAGTTAAGCATCTGCCTTCAGCTCAGGTCATGACCCCAGGGTCCTGAGACTGAGCCCCAGGTCGGGCTCCCTGCTCAGCAGGGGAGTCTGCTTCTCCCTCTCCCTCTGCACACCCCGCCCATGCTAAGGCTTGCATGCGCTCGCATGCTTGCTCTCTCTACCTCAAATAAGTAAATAAATAAAATCTTTAAAAAAATAATGAAGTGTATAATAAGGTCTGTCCTGGTTCTGTAGAAGCCCAGGAAATACCAACTCCTTTGGGCATACTCCAAAACTTACTTTCCTAATGCTCCAAACTATTTAAACAGAATTCTCAGATAAGCACAATTTAAAGCTAATCTCGGATACCTTTTTTTTTTTTAAAGTAAGATTACAGTTTCCTTTAAGTATTTGGCTGAGATCTTCACAAATTAATTCCTCATATAAATATTAAAGGCTAAATTCCTCATATAAATAATAAAGGGAAGTATTTTATGAAGGCAATAATATACAGTGGTTCAGAGTTCTGACCCTGCAGTCAGACTGCTTGCCATCTGCCCTCTAGTGGCTGTATGACCTAGGGCAAGTTACTTAACCTCTCTGTGCCTCTCTTTTCTTTTCTGGAATTAAGAATAAAAATACTTATATGAATTAAACATGTTAATATATGTAATATGGAATATATGTAAAAACATATGTAATATATGTTAAACACAACAATGCCTGGCACACATAAGTGCTCTCTAGAGAACTTTACCATTTTGTTACACCTTAAATTTTTATCTAAAAACAGGGGAGGGGGAGAATTTACTTTTAAAATTATTTTTAAAAACTAAATATTAAACACTAAGCATATGGTAATTCACTTTTCTGCCAAGCTCAGATGTTCAGAAGGTTCTTATGGGTTGGGGCCGTTACATTTCTTTTGCTGTATAATACTGTACAGACAAAAATGTAAATTATTCTCCAGTCTAACTCATCTTTGTTTCTTTAAATATCTCTTACAAACTAAGATAAATAAGTACTTTTAAGCCCAAATTCTCCATTTTCTATGACTTGATATAATAGTAACTCTGGAAAGAACAGCTTTAGTCATGGGGTTTCCATAAACAATAAGCCTTTAACCTATTTCCAGTCTAATACTTTTCAGATGCCTAATACTTTTAAGAAGTGTATTATGAAGGCTAGAGCAAAATCATTTTTGCTAAAATGAATGCACAGACAAGCCCCCAAAGGCTAAAATCTAATAATGTATGTACTGGTCCCTTGGGTCACTATAGCTATTTCACTTTCTTCCAGATTTAAGGATATAATAACTGTTCTATCAGCAGAGGTTGTCAAGATCAGTTGGTTTTTTTCTTCACAAGCTTCCAAGGAAGGAAATGTAATAAGAGCTGTTATCTTTTGAGTGTGTCCATTAAGTTCCAGAAGTTTTTCTCCTGTCTGAAATACCAATAAAAATTTCAATAGGCTCATATCATATTTATAACTTAAATAATCTTAAATGACAACATTTAGAAGAATCACCATGTAGAAAATAATATAATTCCATTTTTAATTACTTAGATGCTATAATCTAACTTTAAGCAATCAAATAGAATCTAAACAGGTACTGAAAGAGTAGCCATAATTATTTTCTAATAGAAAATACTAATTTTTAGCATATTTTTACATGAAAATTTAAAGGGATATTCTTAAAACCATACCATGTGGTTTTAAGAATTGTATAAATTAAGCATAAAAAAATCAGTAACTAATCTGTAGGAAAAAAATAGGGAGTCCTCATTATCCAAGTATTTGTTATCTAATCTCCAAAGTTAAAATGTTGAGGGAAATAAAAGTTAGCATAACAACACAATACATATACTGTACACATCCAAGAGTAGTAGTTCAACCACTCATAAACTCAGTCTCCACTCCATCTCTAACAACAACAGCTATTCCTATCTATCTAGTGTCTTCAGCTATCAGTCTCTCACTGACTTTCCCAAGTAGTAAACACAAAAGATCCAATGTAAATATAACATAAATTGCAAATCCTTCCAAGGTTGCAGGATTTCATGAACATGGTGAACATAATGTTAAATAACTGCTTTAATCACTGTCAAAGCCACTGAGAAATGAGGATCTGAAAGAGTCAGACCAGGTAACAATCCAAGTAACAGTGAGAAGATAAATGTTTCAAAAGAGAATAATTTGAATATCAAAAGATCAGCCTTAAAAGTTTGGTGAAGCCTTAAATATTTTTGAAAAAAAATTAGCCTTTTATTACATTCCTATTAAAGTCAAACATGAGAAGAATATTACATTATGCTATCGTACAAGTTTGAAATAAAAATTCCATCTCCCACAAAAATAAATCAACACTTGATTCATTTTCAGAGTCAGTATATAGTTGCTGATAACTTAAATTTGTTCAGTAAGATTAAAACTTTCTCTACTATGAAATATTGCCCCCCCATTATAAATGGATTCATCGTAAGTAGCCTTTTTCAAGTATTAATTAGTTTCAGTATACTCATATGCAGGTATATACCCAAATAATGTTTATGAATGCAAACTCAACTATAAAGTCATGTCTTTATTACACAATTCACATAGAATTAATACACACCTGGGCATTCCACACAACTACAATTCCGTCATCACCAGCAGATGCAAATCTGGGTAGAGAAAAAAGGTAAAAAGAAAAGAAATTTCTGGTGACATTTATATGCTAAAATTTCTAAGAACTATCAGAATTTATTAATGGTATTTTGACTTATATTAAGGCTGATTAAGTTAAGCTAATTCAACAAATAATTATGGACTACCTTCTAGGTTTTATGCCAGGTACTGAGATCCAAAGATAAATAAAGCCATTCACAGCATTACAACGAATCAACTGCTAAAACTGTAAGAAAGAAGGAGACAAGTCCTTCCTGGTTTTAAAAATATGATTAAACCCTGACAGGTGATAGGAAACCAAACTGAGGAAGAGCTTCACTGATAGGAAGTGATATTCCAAGAGTGGAACAAAGGAATCATGCCTCTAGATAAGTTCATTATTTCTATCATTTTCTCTGTAAAGATATTTTAACTTTACTATTTAAAGCCAAGATCTCTCCTTTGCTCCACTTGGCTCTTAGTCTTTTCATGTAAATACTGTGTTCTTAGTTTGGAAGCTTTGAGGTTTTTTGAGGGTTTTTGTTTTGTTTTTTTAGTGAAAATGTTTGAAATGCAAAAAGGTAAAGGAAAGTTTATTTCCTGCCATGAGAAAAGAGCTGTGATGAACTCGGTTATAGCTTCTCTCTTTACTTCCCATTCACTATACATAAAGGAACAATCATATACATTTTGTAGAGTAGAAGATATCCATGATACAAAGAATGCCAAGAAAAATAATTTGTTGTACACGATTACTCATCATAGTGAATGCATTACAGTAAAATCAAGAAAGCACTGTTCTCAAGCAATGTCCCAACACGTGGTATACAGCAATCACACCATAAGCATGTCAAGTAATTTATTAATAATGTAGTATATAAGTTTGTAAATAATTCTTTAATGAATCAAAATTGATCCAAAGTTGTTCCCATATCACTTTCATTCACCTAAATTCAAGATTTGTTTTTTGAAAAGGAAAGAAGTGGTATTATAGAAAGCCAGCTATGAACTGTGCATAACTACCCCTTATAGTTAACAACCATTATTAATAATAATAATAAAAACATTAATAATGATAATCCACTGGGAGCTATGACATTTTAAAAATGTGTTCTTCCTTGCAAGACTGTTAGTGGGTTTCACAAAATCTGGGTATGCCTTGAATGTCTTCATTACAGGAAACACTGTTAGCCATTCAGGTCTATCACTGGGGAACTGATACACTAAGACACAAAAGTTACTTTGTTACTGAGAGTATCAGGAAATTCTTACAAATTTTACCACTAATGAGATCCATAAAATCTCACTACTTCAGCCATTTCCTTAAAACTCCAAACTGAGCTTCAAGTTCTAACTTCTCATGCTCAGTTTCGGAGTCCCATAAGTAACTGCTGTCTTCACTGGCTCATTTCAGTATTTATTTCTAAATCCTTCAATTACATCTCCTACTATAGGAGCTAAGAGATTATTCAGGAGATGGGAAATTAGTTAAATACATCCTCACCAAAGTCTGTTAACAATTTTTTAATATAGAACTATGTATCTTTTTGATGGAAGGACCTTTAGAACTTCCTAGGTAACAAGTAAGAAATCACAGGCAGAATTATTTTTTAAATCCATGCCTAACATTTATTCTTATTTCAAAATGAAGTATATAAAAAATCTGGAGATTAAAAAGAAAACATTTTTAAATTAAAAATACAATTTCTTATTTAATAACATACATTTTTCTGAATCAGAATACGAAACAATGCCTAAGTATCAAAAATAGTTGCTGAACATCAATCTTTAATAGCTTATGTTTCTAGGCCTATTGATTTCTTTTTATTTGTATAGTGATGGTGGGGAGGCAGGACTCAAGGTCTTAAGTTTTCTTTGGTATAAAACATCAATTTCTATTGATTCTTGAAACTCTTATAATTGCTTTTCTCCTTTCTAGAAGACTGCAGGTTTAAAATACCTACTTTTTTCTAACTCTGATTTTTAACTTCTCATTATTGTTTTATCATGTCTAAATCTCATGAGTTCACAATGAGAGACGATTGAATGGTTGAGAGTTTAGAAATGAGATATAGAGCATTTCACCTCAAACTTTAATTTAATCAGTAGTGAACAAAAGTTAAATCTAAACAATGCTCAATGTAATGCATGAAATCACAGCCAATTTTTTATTGCTCAGAGGTCAATTACCCAGTTGGTGGATATTCGGGTCTTTCAATTTTCTTATATATTCTCTATTGCTGCCTTTTTTTTGCCATTTCAGTATTTGTTATTACCTCCTCTAAAGAGAAAACATGAAGCTTAGAAATGCAAATCAATATAACTTTGCTACATATTAGTATCACCCATAAAATAACGAATAAAGGGTTGGGAGATCATTTGCAAATTACAATTATCCATGCTATTAGGATGGATAATTGAAAACTAGCTACACTTTATCAGTTTATCTTAAACTATAATCAGTTCATCCTAATCAGTCAAGCACACACTTCAGCCATCTGCAAATCAGAAATGAAAATTCAACCCAAGAATTCCTAATAGTAAGATACATTGTAATTGCTAAAAAGAAGTCATGAACTATAAAAAAGGAGTAATTAAAATGCCAGTAAGGTTTAAACTATTCAATGGAAGGAAGAATTGTGGCTGTATTGCATTAAAATTACATGTAATAACTTTTTAAAACATTCTAAACTCATAGAATCCAAAGATTCAAGTCTATAGCTAAGGTTTTAAGAGAAATGCTTCCTTACTGATTAGTACAAAATATATTTAGTGAGATTCATGCTAGGTGACAGGGAAATGTCAAGATCAATTACATGTGGATCTTGCTTCAAGATCTCAAAATTCAGTGATTGTTTAGAAATGTATTTCATCAACTTTAAGATATCAAGTGTAAGACATTCTATACTGCCAATTATAACTGAAAGACACTAACAATTTTATGATATCTCCAAAGTTCAGAGATCTTAAAATAGGGGAAAAACAGGCTTCTTAGAATCAATGAAATACAGTAATTGCCATATTTATTGGTGTTTATGATGTGGCATTTTCGAGTCCAACAAATCTCTGATTATCTCTAGGAGGTTTAAAACACCAAAGAAATGCTTTTTCAATGAATAAATTAATGAATAAGCGAACATTTAAGTGTTGCAAGGGCTCTGTAAAATAGGTAATCATTAAGTGTATTAAAGTAACCTCATTTTTCCTTTTATCATTATTAACATATGAATATAGTGTCAAAACAAAAATTAAAATTAAAAAAAATTTAAAACCCAGAAACCCACCACACACATACATAAATTCCTTTTCTTTTCATGTTCCTGTCCCATACTTACATATATCTTTCAACTTGAAACCATGTCTTCAAAAACTCATTGAGAGTATATGATTAAATGACCCAGCAAGGGGCACCTGGGTGGCTCAGTCGTTAAGCGTCTGCCTTCAGCTCAGGTCATGATCCCGGGGTCCGGGGATCGAGCCCCACATCGGGCTCCTTGCTCAGCCAGGAGCCTGCTTCTCCCTCTCCCGCTCCCCCTGCTTGTGTTCCCTCTCTAGCTGTCTCTCTCTCTGTGTCAAATAAATAAATAAAATCTTTTAAAAATAAATAAATAAATAAATGACCCAGCAAAAACTATATGCATGAAAAGAAGTTTAACAAGGTGAAACATGATTTTATGAAGACCTATAGCAGAGCTTCTAGAATGTTCCATCCTCTCCTACCCTAATTATGAGAACTAAACTTATCATGAGAGTTGATGATTCACTCATTCATTCAAGAAATATTAAACACTAACTATATATTAAGCATTAAATGTATTATATGTATATTTGATAATATATATTTGATACTGAATGTAAAGATCAGTAGAATAGTTCTTGCCCTTAAAGAACTCAGTCTACATTACTAAGTAATGTTATAGGGTCCAGATCATGAATCCATTGAGAATTCTCATTTGTACTCCTTTCAATTTATAGAAGTCATTCCTTTTAAACACCTTCCCTTTGAACATCTCAGAGAAAGTACTCTCATTCTTGCAACTGTGAACTGAAAAGTACAGCAAAACTTCAAAGATTTGTATAACACAAAATATTTTCACAAGTAATTCCTAAGTCTATTACTTAAGGGCTTATTTAATAGTTCTTATTCATTTGAATTTATTTCAATTAGGTCAAAGGTGCTACAGATTCAAATATAACCTAAGAGGACATAATGAAAGGTACAGTCCATAAAACTTCCTGTATTCAATATCTACCATAAAGCACTAGAAAAATAAAAAGAGAATATTATTATGGCAAAACAAAAAATCCCTGTGGTTAACTAACTCCTCACCTAATCCACAAGTACTTTCTAATGCATGATGCAACTAAAATAGTATATATTTTTTACAATAGAAATGAAAAATGGTACAATACCAAAAACCCAACCAAACTGAAAAAATAGAAAACTTCCATTTAAAACAGATTTTTACTTATCTTGTATTCTCAAACTACTTGAAGAAAATCAGAGAAGTATGTGGAAACTTGTAAGAGAAGCGGAAGGGAACTTGAAAGCATTTTCATGAGCCATACACACTGAAGTCACTGATCCTTTCAATAGATTTACTGGAACATCAAACTCTTTTTTCTTAAGAAAAATGCATACATTAACATAACTCTAATATCTGAATGTCTATGGTCCTTTTTTAGCTCACACACACACACAGTTTTCATGGTCATTAGGAGAGGTAAACCCTTCGTAAATTCTTCCCTCCCCAAATCACAAACAGAAAGCTAAACTACAACATCAAAGTTTACAAATATTAGAAACCCAAAACTCCCTAGGACTTCTATCAGGGGAAGCCTCCATTCACATGAGCTCAAATTTCTGTGAAAGAATTTCTACTACTAGAGAAACATCCCTGGCCTCTCTCTGCCTGGCTGGTCAAATAAGTGAGTGTATGAGAATGAACTGAGCATGCTCAGTTAGGACCCTGCAGGGTTTTCTCTGAGGATTTATGTGTTTCTATAGGGGAAACAT